CTGCCATTCTTACCTAGTACCCGTTTCCTAATAACAGCGTTGCTCACTCGGTTGTCCCACGATATATGAGCAATGCTTCGAAGACATCTATGATCGAAAACCAATAACCGACGAGTATCTTCTACTCTCATTGGCCATGTTTCACAGCCATAAAGTAAGACGGAGCGAACCACTGCGCAGTACACTCGTCCTTTAGTCAGCAAACGGATATCTCGCCTACGCCATAAGTGACGCAGGTTGGCAAAAGCCAATCGAGCCTTCTGTATCCGTGCCGAGATTTCGTCAGTCACCAGGCCATCGGCACTGATGAGACTCCCAAGATAAGTGAAGCGGTCTACACGCTCGACTACTTCACTCCCTATCACTAGTTCAGGTGCCGATGACACCCAATCTTGAAGCAACATTTTGCATTTCGAGGGGGAAAGCCGCATCCCGAACATGCTTGCATTGTTGCTTAGGGTAGTCAGAAGACTCTGCATTTTGTCAGCGTCTTCACCAAGTAGGACAATGTCATCGGCATATTCTAAGTCAATAAGCGAGCCACCTGGTAGAAGGTCTACTCCAGAAAATTCAGACGAGGATAAGGTTATTTCTAGGAGCATGTCTATGATAAAATTAAACAAGAATGGAGAAAGTGGACATCCCTGACGGACACCACTTGAAGTAGAGAATTCCGGTGACAGTTCGCCATAAGCTCTCACTCGACCAGTGGTGTTTGAGTAGAGAGCTTGTATGAGGTTAATGTACTTATTTGGTACACCTTTCAATGACAGACACTGCCACAGAACCTCACGATCCACTGAGTCAAATGCCGCCTTAAGGTCCAGGAAAACAACTATTGTAGGACGCCTAAATGTGTGTCTGTGTTCCAAGACCTGTCGAAGTGTGAAAATGTGGTCTATACAACCACGTCCAGGTCGAAAACCAGACTGGTTTTCTCGAGTTCGCTCTTCAAGAACTTTCGTTAAGCGTCGAAGTATTATTGAGGCCAATATTTTAGATACTATATTAGTCAGACTTATTCCCCTGTGATTGTCACAAGAAGACTTCTGTCCTTTCTTATAGATTGGGACAATCAGTGATTGAGACCAGTCGGATGGGATTACGTCCAGTTCCCAGATTCCAACTAAGATCTCAGTCAATCTAGCTGCTAAAACTGGACCACCATCCTTAAATATCTCAGGGGTCAGTCTATCAGGACCTGCAGCTCGTCCTCGCTTCAGATTTCCTAAAGCTTTTTCAACTTCATTAAGACTAGGGGGACTTACGTCGATTTGCCATTCAGGATGACTGGGGATCGTGGGTAACCGAAGAGTGGCTCAAGGCCAGTTGAACTGGTCCCTCAAGTGTTCTGCCCATCAGTTCAGTCTCCTGGATAGAGAATGTTTAATAAGACCATCCTTTTCCGAAATAGTCTCACTCACATTTGGGTTCCTAATACCGGTTTCTTTGATAAGGCGGAAAAGTTGTCTAGTGTTGCCTATCGCCGCTGCCTTTTCCATCGCCTTTGCTTTCGCCACCCACCACTGTTCGCGATCGTTACGTAGGCTTTTTGTAAGTCTGCGCCTAGGTTGACTTCGTTCTTCATCATGTTCAGAGTCAGGTGGGATGAGTTTTCGGGCATCCATCAGATCGGTGGATGCTACTGAGATCCACGGTTTCATTCTAGCCTTATGGTCAGCCAATATAGCTCGGTTGGGTCATTATGGTAGGCAAGCCCGACCACCACGTCAAGGTAGCAGCTTCGGTCGGGAACCCACTCCTACAACAGCTATCATAACGTGTCGAGGTGGCTTAAGGGTGGACAAACGTAACACAAGTTCCAACCACTCCAGTTGATAAGAATTATCTACCTCGTCAATCGATTTCTCAGCTCTAAGTAGTACGCTTGGTGACCCAAAAACGCATGATCGATGGTCCGAAGACAACAATGATTGGATGCTAGTAACCAACGAATATCTTGTTTCTAATGTCTGTTTAATACATATAAGATGGAATAGACTAGACTAATGCTCAATGGACTGGTATTTTTGTTGGCAACCACATGTCCCGCCTATGTTACAAGTCGCGCAATTTGGCACAAACCAATTAGGCTCTCTGAACCCGCGCTGCGATTTCGTCAGAAACTAGGTCATCAGGACTGATGAGACTTCCATGATAATCTGAGCGGTTGACGCATCCAACTGCTTCCCTCACTGACACTAATTCAGGTGCGGACGCGGTCTAGTCTTTAAGCAACATTTTGCATTCGCAGTAGAAAAATTGCCTCCGGAAATTGCTTATGTTGTTATTTAGGGAGAGATCAGAAGATCGCACTGTTTCATCGTCTTTACCAAGCCGGACCTATTCATCTGTGTATTGTCTGTCAATTAGCAAACCTGGTAGCAAAGCTACCACTCAAAAACTAGTTGAAAGCTTGCATAAGATTGTTGTACTTCTTTGGTACGCCTTTAAATGACATTGTCACAGAACCTCTCGATCGGTAGAGTCGAACGCTACCTTAGGTCAAAGAATACAGCTATAGTCGGCCATCCACAAGTATATCCATGGTACAGAACCTGAAAAAGGGTTCGCTCTTCCATCAGTCCTAGTTAAATGTTGTATGATTATTAAGGATAATACCTTAGACACTATATCAAACAAACTGATTACTGTGATTGTCGCACAAGGAATTTTGCCCTTATAGACTTTAATGACCAGCGACCAAAACCAGTCAAAAGAGATTACAATCAGTTCACAGTTTCTAACTAAGACTTCGGTCACATTCATTGCTAAAACTGGATCCCCATCTTTAGAAACTCCCGGGGCTGATTCGTATGGATCTGGTGCTCTTCTTGGCTTTGTATCACCTACAGTCTTTTCAACATCGCTAACGGTTGCCATTGCGTATATTTGAAGGTAGTGGGTAACTGAAGGGCAGCTGAAGAACAGTTAAAGCGTCCCCTAAAATGTTCTGAACATCAGCACAATCTTCTGGATCAAGGTTGTAGCCCCATCTTTTTTCGAGGTAATCTCATCAAAAACCGTATTTTTGATAATTCTGATTAGTTGTCTACCATTACTTTTTGCAGTTGCCTTTCCTATCTCTTCGACTTTTGCTGCCCACGTAGTTTGCGTGGCTTTTTCACAAGTCTACTTACGACCTCCGCTTCTCATCGTCTTCGGAGCCTGATGAGACCCAAAACCTATTAGCTCAATGGACTCCAGAGGAATCCATTAATGCTCTTTAAACTTGTGGTTTGAGTTACGGCTAGATATCACCGTTGTTTGAACATCGTATCGAGCTACCTCGAAGAGGAAATCACTTTCGCGGTCGACTAACCGCTTTTATAGTTGTTCCCAAAATATATTCTTGATATCTTCATCATTGGGCTAAACTCTAATGCATGTTCTTGCTGTGAATTTTCAGTATCCGTGTGCTCGCACGAAAGCATGGTCAACGTCTAGACATAAACTCTAAATTAAGCGCCAGTCTTATCGAGCTTTTCCCCAGTCATCCTCTTCCTTCCGTTGTGAGGCGGCAGTATCGCTGCAGATCCTCATCTCCTGAGGAGGATACCTTGTTGCCGTCACACACCATTCTCCATCCTGTTCCACCGGCATGGCAGAACCTAAAGGGGCAAGGGTTCCAGGCAATATAGCTCAACCCCGGGTAATTACGATAGGTGAGCTCGACCATCACGTCCAGGTGGTATCTACGGTCGAGCTCTTTCTACCTGATTTATCGTCACAAAACTCCATCCTATGTGTGTTTTCGTTTTTGTAGCTTGAGTTAATGCTTTTTTGTATCAGGTTCTTTGGTATATTTGTCTGTCGTCTACTTTTTCAATCAGTCAGTCAGTTACAACGTAGAACTTCGTACGTAAGTACATCAGTTCATGTTGCCATACCACACTAGCACAAAGACGCAATTGTCAATTCAAATCCCATTGTCTACTTTTTAATCTGTCTTGATCAACCTAATGGGTGTATCTTTTTCTGTAAAAAAGACAACAAAGTGGTAGTATATTTCTACTGTTGTTTCTATCATTTCTAAGCTTCGTCATGTCAACAATAATTATCGTTCTTGCTACTTTTTACCTGTTAAAATGCATGATTTTGATAGTGGTAGCTAGTATAACCGGAAGCTGTTGCATCACTTTTATCTAAATTTTTGTGGGGTTATGCAGCAACCCATGGATGTAATTTACTGTTTGTTTTAAATCACCATTTTACGGTCGCATATAGTTCACCATAAAGGTATTGAAAACGTCTACTTCGGTTAACTGTCCAAGTAGTTTTACCTTGATAAAGTATTGGTACTGCTACTAATATGGCTATTTTTTATGACTGAGTATGTATAAGATTCATAACATGAAAAGATTAACTGCTTTAACTAAAAAATATAACTAAATTAATGAGTTACACTTTCACTTTTATTTGACAGTTATATTACATTGTTACCGTATCATGCATGATGTTTAACCTTATCATTTTAACGAGTGAATTGTAACCCGATTTTCGTAGGATGTTTATCCTCAAACTCATCACCACAATATCATTTTAAATTTGCCAATATATAAAAGTCTTAGTTTGGTTGACTAATAAGTACATTATTCGGGTTGAACATAAGAATATACAATATTTCAAATTAGTCTGAACATCTATTCGCGTACAGCAATGCTGTCCGGAAGGTTAAAATTTTTATAGCTCTGCAGTTTTGCAGAAACTTATAATCGGCCATAAGTAACATAAAAACTTGGGCCACATTCTCTCCATCCATGTTGTCATACCACGTCACTGCAGGAAAATTAACTTATCGAAATGAACACTGAGCTATTAGAAGACTTACGCTAAAAAACACTAGTAGTTATTGTGTCACTCTCAGTTTTCAACATATTTGCATTGAATTGTGAGGCTGTTTGGTTTTTACTGTCGTGCAGTCGCAATGGTTTTCATATATGTATTTTGTGTTGTTAATTTGCAATACCAAAAGTTAGTTTTTATTTCTTATTCCAATTGATTAGTTAGTCGCGCTTCGCTAGAGCTTAATGTTCCCATCACCTGCAAGATTCGAATCTTTAGTGACGTTGAGCGAACTATTCAGTATGCGAAGCTCCTCGAAGCTTCAGGAGCATCTATGCTTACAGTTCATGGACGCACCAGAGAGATGAAGGGTCAAAAAACTGGACTCGCTGACTGGAATCAAATCAGGGCAGTAAAGTAAGTATAACTAATTTTTATACCATATTTAATATTGTAAGAAAGCTTCTAATGTATGCACTTTTCCTACTTCATACTTCTTTATGTACATTAGGTTGAGTTTTAGTAGCATATAATGAGCAATATTGTTTGTTATTGATCGGATATGTCAGTATTTTATTCTGTCGGCTATTTCTAGTCCTAGCAGTGCTCGACAAACTATCGAGTTAATTAAGACATAATTATCCATTTTTTAAAACAAACATTGGCACAATCAGGCACTACAATGCACCACACAATAAAACTGAGGTTGGGAACAAAAGACAAAATAGATGCAAATTAGTGTATAAGACTGAGGTAATAGCAGTGCAGGAAACAGTTCACCTAGGGAAAATACAACCAGAAAGAATTCTTTCAACTGTGGAAGTTCCTTATTACTCATACCACCACCAGCATCTACCTAGACACGAGCTTTTCAACTACTTCTACTTGTCCACTACCAAGGGAGAAAGCAGACACCGGATCCTGTCAGTGTTGTAAAAGTACTGTACACAGAAACGCACCACCATTACCTACATCCATCGAAACAGTTTGAAAACGTCATCCATTGCCAAGCAGGAGAGGAATGGGGACATTGGTAAGCCTTGTGTAATCCTACTACTTGAATAAAACCACTAAGATGTGTCCCGATCGTAGCTGCTAACTTGACATGGTGGTCCGGCTTTCCCATCGTGATGACCCAACCGAGCGTTAGAAAATCTGAAGCGAGGGCGAGCTGCAGGTCCTGATAGACTGACCCCTGAGATATTTAAGGATGGTGGTCCAGTTTTAGCAGCTAGGTTGACTGAGATCTTAGGTAGAATCTGGGAACTGGACGTAATCCCATCCGAGTAGTCTCAATAACTGATTGTCCCAGTCTATAAAAAAGGACAGAAGTCTTCTTGTGACAATCACAGGGGAATAAGTCTGACTAATATAGTATCTAAAATATTGGCCTCAATAATACTTCGACGCTTAACGAAAGTTCTTGAAGAGCGAACTCGAGAAAACCAGTCTGGTTTTCGACCTGGACGTGGTTGCATAGACCACATTTTCACACTAAGACAGGTCCTGGAACACAGACACACATTTAGGCGTCCTACAATAGTTGTCTTCCTGGACCTTAAGGCGGCATTTGACTCAGTGGATCGTGAGGTTCTGTGACAGTGCCTGTCATTGAAAGGTGAACCAAAGAAGTACATTAACCTTATACAAGCTCTCTACTCGAACACTACTGGTTGAGTGAGAGCTTATGGCGAATTGTCATTGGAATTGATTACTTCATTTGGTGTCCTTCAGGGATGTCCACTTTTCCCATTGTTGTTGAATTTCGTCATCGACATGCTCCTAGATATAACATTATGTTCGTCTGAATTCTCAGGAGTAGACCTACCAGGTGGCTCGCTTATTGACTTAGAATATGCCGATGACATAGTCCTACTTGGTGAAGACTCTGACAAAGTGCAGAGTCTTCTGATTACCCTAAGCAACAATGCAAGCATGTTCAGGATGCGGTTCTCACCCTCGAAATGCAAAATGTTGCTTCAAGACTGGGTTGCACCGGCACCTGAACTAGTGATAGGTGGTAAAGTAGTTGAGTGTGTAGACCTCTTCACTCATCTCGGGAGTCTCATCAGTGCTGATGGCCTTGTGACTGACGAAATCTCGGCACGGATACAGAAGGCTGGGTCGGCTTTTGCCAACCTGCGTCATTTATGGCGTAGGCGAGATATCCGTTTGCTGACTAAAGGACGAGTGCACTGCGAAGTAGTTCGCTCGGTCCTACTACATGGCTGTGAAACATAGCCAGTGAGATTAGAAGATATTCGTAGGTTATTGGTTTTCGATCACATGTGTCTCCGATGCATTGCTCGAGTATTGTGTGACTGCCGAGTAGGCAATGCTGTTGTTAGGAAACGGGTGTTAGATAAGGATGGCAGATCAATAGATGAAGTAATGAAACTTCATCAATTGAGGTGGTTGGGACATGTGCGGCGTATGCCTAACCACCGACTGCATGGACGAGCTTTGTTTTGTAGTGTAGGAATAGGTTGGAAGAAAGCTAGGGGCGGCCAAACCAAAACATGGCAGAAATCGATGCAGTCATTGACGAGTGGACTTAGCCATGTCGGTAATTGTCGACTACCTGGTTGGGGTCCGCGAGATGATGATAATCGATGGTTAGAGTCATTGAATGACATGGCTCAAAACCGTTTGCAATTGCGCCGGTGCATTTATTCTTTGTGTTCTCTCGAATCCTAATCTTCTGGATTCTTCACCCCTCCAGTTTTTACTTTCTAAACTTTTCTCATTGAATCATACTTCTTGAATAATAATAATAATAATAATAATAATAATAATAATAATAATAATAATAATAATAATGATAATAATAATAATAATAATAATAATAATAATAATAATAACCTCTCCGATTACTTCTAATACCCTTACTAACTCTTCTACTGTTGGATTTGAATTGACAATTATACCTCTGTGCTGATAAGATATGGCAACATGAACTAATGTACTTATGTACTAAGTTCTACGTTGCATCTGACTGACTGACTGACTATTTCGAATTCATTACTAAGACCTAAAGTTATAATGCGTCACGATATGCAGCCAAAATATTTCAGAAACTAGACCATGTGCACTTTAATAATTGGCCTTGAGGGTTAATAGTTAGGGCTTGCCTCGTGACGCATTTGGAAGATTTCCGCAAAGTGTGTCCAATCTACCTCCAGCAACTTTTACTGACTTCCTCTTCAGTCGGAAGGTTGGTTTGTCCTGTCGCAGTAGGTCGTTGCTGATTTTGTCTGGCCAACGAGTCTGAAGTATCTTGCGACGAAAAATGTTAACAAACTCCTTTATCTTTTGGATCATGGCTTTCGTAGTTCTCCAAGTTTCCGCTCCACACAACAGAACTGTCTTGACGTTCTTATTGGAAATTGTGGCTTTGGTGTTGGATTATACTTGTTTAATGATATCTTCGAACCCTCATCTTTCTGATTACCGCATATTCTTCTACTGCCTCTATCAATATGTGATTTCAATCGAAAATTGCACCTACCTGCTTATGTCGTATGGGAACCTCAACTGATGAACGTACTTACCATGTTCCACGTTTATCTAACTGGCTAACTGTGGTGTTTGAAAGAACTAGTAAATTCTTGTTGTTGTTGAATGCTTGATTTCGAATTCTAAATACAATACATTCGTTTGTGCATATCTTTAGTTCTTGATTCACATACTTCTAATCATCATACTGGCGTCGCGATGGAGCTTGTAATGGAACAGTTAGATATTCATTCTACTTCTGAAGCTTTTGAAGATTATTTGGAAAGGTTTGAAATCTGGAGTATGACCAGGAAAGATATGAAAGATGATAAAATTGTGTCTCATTTCCTAACATTCATCGGAAAAGAAGCGTACAGCTTATTAAAAACTTTGGCATATCCAGAAAAACCTATTTCACTTCCCTATGCAATGCTTAAGGAGTTATTATTGAATCATGTAAAGTGCCCTGGTTTTGAATGCCGTGAAAGAGCGAAATTTCATAAGACGATTCGTCAAAATGACCAAAATGTTAAGGAATTCATTCTTGAATTGCAGAAACAAGCTGTCAATTGTAATTTCGGTGATCAACTTCATGTGCAGCTGAGAGACCGATTAATTGCAGGAATTAACATACCTAGTTTGGAAAGAGAGCTGTTAAGAATGTCAAACTGTTCCTTTCAAGATATTAGAACTGCGTGCATTAACTACGAGGCGTTAAATGAACTTGATATTCAGTCGATGAAGATTTCCAATACTTTGATTAGTTGTCATGATGAAAAACAATCTCAGGGTCAATCAAAATTGTGTTTGTTTAACAGAGGTTCCTATTTTCGTGTAAATATGAACGGTGTTTCAATAAAGAATTACAAAGGAAATCACAAAGGTAATGCTCATATTCAAAAGCGACTATATACAACGCTTGGTTCATTGTGGACACAGGCAGCATAGAGTCCATTATTTCATTCAAGAACTTGAAATCGTTAGATCCTAACGTTGCGGTTCGACCCACTGCAGTATCAATATTGGGGATTACTGGACACAGACTGCCTATACGAGGATCTTGTGAATTGCTAATAAGAGATGATAATTTCTCATACATACCTTGTGAATTCTTAGTTAGCGAAACAGGACTGTCAATACTGGGTTTAAAGAATTTGAAAAGACTTAAAGTGGAGTTGTCTTTCCTAGTTTCTAAAGAAAATTCTGATGCTTTACTTGAAGATTTGATAGCCACGTGTGTTAAGTGCAATGGAAGTATGAAAACGGTTCAGCACAGGAGTGCCAAACGAATTCAACATGTTGACTACATTTCTCGACAGTCATCACAAGATAAACCTGTTAATACTTCAGACTGTTTGTTGGTGCAACCTTTACCAGTGAAACGTCCAGACCTCATTAGAGAAACTCGTAGAAACTTTGGATGCATAATTAGTGCTATACGGAAAGGTTGGAATGCTAATCTGAAACGTAGATTCCCTATCTATTTTTCAAAGCGGGATGAGCTATCCACTACTCCTGATGGTATATTGTGTTTAAATGATCGGGTTGTTATTCCTCCTTCATTGCGTAAAGCTGTCCTGGAAGATCTTCATAGTGGACATTTAGGTGTTGAGAAAATGAAGTCCTTGGCGAGGCTCACGTGTTGGTGGCCAGAGATAAATGCAGATATTTGTCGTACAGCAGACAATTGTGTAAAGTGTCATAAGCTGAAAAATCAGCATTTGAAGTGGACTCCATGGCCAGTATCGTCGGAGGCCTGGCAGAGAATTCATGCAGACTATTGTGGCCCGTTTCTTGGCAAATACTATGCACTTGTAGTCATTGATTCTTTTTCAAAGTGGCCTGAAGTTTTTTTCACAACTTCACCAAATTCTGACTTCACAATTCAAGCATTAAGGAAGGTGTTTAGTCGAGAAGGGGTTCCAATGGTGTTAGTGACTGATAACGGCTCTCATTTTGCTGCAGATGCAGTTACTACCTGGTTAAATGGTATAGGGTGCAAACATCTGTTTACTGCTCCCAGACATCGTTGTTCCAATGGTCAGGCAGAAAATTTTGTCAGGACGTTGAAAACTGCTATTGATTCTATTGCCGCCTCAACATTTAACGAGCTGGAGAGGGGAGTAGATACCTTTCTACTGCAATATAGAAATGCCAGACATTCGGTGACGAAAGAGACTCCATCAAAGCTATTAAAAGGAAGAATTCTTCGGTCGAATATGAGATGTTTGGAGTCTGCAGAAGTTACATATTATCGTGGCAATGATCTTCGACCATCCACGGGGAGAAGAATGTCGGGAAATCTATGGTGCGACTTCTAGATATCAATGACTTTAGTACACACAATCGACATGTTGATCAAGTACAATTCCAGGAACCAGGTGAGTCTGTTCCAATTTCGGTTGTTGATTCTAATACTGATGAGAGCATTATAGATAATACAGAGCCTTTATCCAATACACTGTCGGACAGACACAGGATGAATTTGAGAAGAAGACGTACAATTGATTACAGACACTTGCATTCCAATTTAAGCTGTGGTGGATGTGGTGTTTGAATGAACTAGTAAATTCTTGTTGTTGTTAAATGCTTGATTTCGAATTCTAAATACAGTACATTCGTTTGTGCTTATCTCTTAGTTCTTGATTCACATACTTCTAATCATCATACTAACTGACTGAGGACATTTTTAGGCCTAAAATGATTAGTTTTGAGAGCTACTACAACTTTTTTATAACAATGCTTTCTTCTATCAAATTTGCCTATAATAATAATATCGCACGAATTTGTCAGATCAGTCAATGGTCGATTGTGGTCACAAGAAAATAGTCAAATCCATCTGTATTTCTTGTCTTAAAATTATTTTTACTTTATGCATGAGTTTCGACTTTTTCGGCTTACATAATTCATGAAAAACGGTGTTCTGAAACTCCCTTATGTCAGTAGTTAATTCTTTGCATTGTATTATCTCTTGATCTATTCATTTTGCAGTGGTCAGATTTGTCTGACAAACATATAACATGAGGTTTAAACTAGGTAATGTTTTATTTATGTATCCACCCAAATCTATCTATATATCAAGTGTGTAGTGTATCTTCTTTGACTTTACTTTTTTTCAGAGAAGCTGTGAAAATACCTGTTATCGCCAACGGAAACATTCGGTATTTATCAGACGTTCATCAGTGTCTGGACTCTACTAAAGCCGACGCGGTGATGAGTGCAGGTTTCTATCCAAAACATTATTTATCTCGATGTATTTCATTCAAGTTATTGTTCATTATATAGCTAGTTTGCGGCATATCGTTAGCATGATGATCGATGGACTACTAAAATGAAATTATCGGAAACTGCAAACTTCTGCCTAGTTTTTTTTTTATAATCGTTATCTAGCCTGCTGTTTTGTTTTATTCAAAAACTAGACGTATAAAGTGTATGGTCGCTGTAATTAACTTGAGTAGGCCGAACTATTACTGAATCCCGCTGTACATAATGAGGGACATTATATTAGGTATCTGTTTAGTCGTCCCTGTTAGAGATTATAAACATTATACTGCCTTTGAAACTCATATATGCTTTCAGTCTCACAGTAGCTTAAAATATCTAGTTATCCCTTAAACAGTAAGTTTAGTTTATTATGTTTGATGATGATTTCAAATGTGTAAAAACATAAACCTCCAAAACTCTGCCCGAAAGTAATTATAATTGTTAACCTCTTTAGTGATTACCAATCTATGTTTATTCACACGTTAGAGATTGATGTTGACCTTTAATACGAATCTGACATTTCAAGTCCATGATGAGTGAACTGACTCATGTAGGTAGGTGCAGATAACCTCATAGGGTTGCGTAGACTTACCACCACCACTTTGTTTGACATGACTCACAATCGCTTAAATTGATTCATATAATCGCTTACATTAGATTCTAAGTTTCTCAATTAATTTGTTTTATTATTCCACTAAATCCAACTATCTCAAGTAATAATTTCTACCCTCATTGACAATTAAATATCTGGAGTACTGTGGAATTTTCACCGACAGCGTCATCTTGGTGTGCTATTATGGTGTAGCAACTGGATCTCCCGATCGTAGCTGCTAACTTGACATGGTGGTCCGGATTGCCCATCGTGATGACCCAACCGAGCTATATTGGCTGGAACATGTGTTCCTGTAGGTTCCACCATGCCAGCCAGGTCGATTGAAGAACTGTGGGACTAAAGGCAGCAACTGAAGGTCTGAGTGCGAAGCCGTACTGCTGCCTGTAGCGGGGTATGACAACAGTAAGGTGTTTCCCTCGGACAACCAGCATCTGCGGCGATGCTGCCTTCTCAAACCTCACCTTACCTCATGAATTTCCGTCTCCAGCTGTAAGTCCACTTGAAGGGCGAAGCCAACGCTTTTAAAATTTCTCATAAGAGGCTGTGCGTAACTGCCCGCAGTCGGTTGTCCCTTGTGCTGTGCGGTCACGCTCCCAGGTCTCTCAGACCAACAGTAACCCAACTTCTGTCAAGAAACACCCTTTCTCGGTGTAGGCAGCCGGGAAGTGACATTCGCCCTCTTACATGTAACGGCGCGCGAAACCGACTTGTTCACAATCGAATCCTTCCTATACCCCGTAATATCTCTCTTATCTCCACGACTAACTTTACTCACATTCCTTTATCACGCCGCACCTCTGCTGCAAACGATTCGAGTTCACGAAACATTATTCTTGGTCTCCTGAACCCTCGTTCTAAATTACATGTTGGAGCATTTAATGTTCGAACATTGTGTCAAATAGGTCAACAGGCTTCCTTAGCTAGGACCTTAAAATCTCGCGCCATCGATGTATGTTGCGTCTGGGACACGCTCATACAGGATCCGAGTAGCATTATTCACTTGACCTCACCATTTCAAGATATAGAATCAACTCGGTCTACGCTTCGTGTATCTGGAAGCCCTACTGCTGCTTCCCGTTGCCTCGTTGGTATAGGTATAGTATTAAGTCCCAGGGCAGGACTAGCTGTGTTAGACTGGATCCCGGTAGACAGTCGCTTATGCGTTGTCCGACTGAACGGGACAACGAGAACTCGTAACGTTGGTGAAACTCGCCGTTGCCCCTATATTGTCTCTGCCTGCGCTCCTAGTGACTACAGCTCAGACGATGTGAAAGATGAGTTTTACAGAAAGCTTTCGGGCCTCCAAAAAGTTGGGCTCTCTGATATAGTAATAATGGCTGGTGACTTCAATGCGCAAGTAGGTAGGCTAAGTGAAAATGAAAGACACCTGGGTGGATTTTATGGTATCGCTGCTCAAAGAACAGATAGTGGTGGCCGTCTGTTGCAACTATGCTCAGATAACCGCCTATTTCTAGCAAATACTAACTTTAAGCATAGGGAAAAACTCCTGATGTGGCACCCCCAAGCCGACCAAACGTTGGACACATCTAGATCACATCACCATCAGCCACTGATGGTAGGGTTAAATAGAGGACTGTCGCTCATTCTGGAGCACTTGTTTAGATTCAGACCATGCTTATTGAGCGCGCGTATTTGTTGGAGGCTTACTGGACGTAGGAAAGACACCGCAAGGAAACCTCTTATGTTTCTACCTAATGATAGAATAAGCTAAGAATATATTTCAGGAGCATTTAGAAAGACAGTTAGGCGACCATGTAAGTGATTCCCGTCCGGAGGCAGGTCGGAATAATATCAAAAAAGCTGTGGAAACAGCTGTGGTATCTGCTGATAAGGTAAACCATAAAGTTAGGGTGGAACAGTGGATCTCAGAAGCATCTACCGAACTGATAGATGCTCGGAAACTCATTCCGTCTGGCTTTGAACATGACGAAGAGGGGAGTGAGCTTAAGCGCAGGCTGATGAAAAGTCTGTGAAATGATCTTGAACAGTGCTGGGTAGCGAATGCAAGTGAGTTGGCAAAGACAGTGGCGATAAGTAGCACCAGGCAGCTATTTAGACTTATCAAGGTAACCGATATTAAGAATCCTAGTGTGAGACTATCTCGTGAAAGAATTGGCTTATCATACATCCTCAATTCAGGAGATTGGATCGATGATTCGAACACCTTAGGAATCAGTTCGATCGGCCTTCAGCCACACTTCGGTTGCCCACGATCTCCTGTCATCCTGAATTGCAGACTCGAGAAAACCAGGCTGGTTTTGGACCTGGACGTGGCTGTATAAACCAGTTATTCACAATACTATAGGTCCTAGAACACACGCACACATTTTGGCGTCCGACGATACTTGTCTTCCGTGGACCTTGAGGTGGTATCGACTCTGTGGATCGTGAGGATTTATGGCAGTATCTTTCATTGGAACGTGTACCAGAGAAGTACATTAACCTTGTACAATCTCCCTGCTCGAAGTGTCATCGGGATTAATTACATCAAGTAGTTTTCATCAATGTTGTCCACTTTCTCCATTCTTGTTTAACCTTGTCATTGATGTGCTTTTTCAGTTGACATTTTCATTATTTGACTTCTCAGTAGTTGAAATTTTACCAGGAGATTCTTTTGTTGGCTTGGAATATGACGATGACATAGTTCTGTTTGGTGAAGACGCTGACAAAATGCAGTGTTCTGACCACCCTAAGCAACAATGCAAGCATGTTCGGGATGCGGTTTTCCCCGTCGAAATGCAAAATGTTGCTTCAGGATTGGCTTTGATCGGCACCTGAATTAGTGATAGGGAGTGAAGTAGTTGAGCATGTAGACCGCTTCACTTATCTTAGGAGTCTGATTAGTGCTGATGGCCTGGTGTCTGGCGAAATCTTAACACGGATACAAAAGGCTCTACTGGACTTTGCCAACCTGCTTCACTTATGGAGTAGGTGAGATATCCGTCTGCTAACCAAAGACGAGTGTACTGCGCAGTAGTTCTCTCCATCTTACTTTATGGCTGTGAAACATAGACAGTAGAGTAGAAGATATTCGTAGGTTACTGGTCTGTTGTTAATAAACGAGTACTAGGTAAGGATGTTAGATGAATAGACGGAGTACTGAAACTCAATCAGTTGAGGTTGTTGGGACATGTGTTACGTATGCCCAACCACCGACTGCCTTGTCGAGCTAAGTTTTATGGTGTAGAATTAAGCTGGAAGAATGTTAGGGGGCGATTAAACCAAAACATGGTACAAATCGATTAAGCCACTGACCAGTGGACTGAGCCATGTTAGTAGGTGGAGACTACCTGTTTGGGGTCGGCGAGATGATAGTAACTGAAGGTTGGAGACCTTGAATGACATGGCTCAAAACCGTTCGCAATGGCGCAGGTGCATCCATTCTTTGTGTTTACTCAAATCCTAGTCCTCTGGATTCTTCATGACCTCTATCTTTCTCTTTTTAAGTTTATTTCACTAGATTATTCTTCTTGAATAATATCTTCGAACCCTAATCTTTTGGATTACTGCTAATAATTCTACTACCTCTGCTACTTTGGGATTCGAAGTGACAATTGCGTCTCTGTGGTAATGTGGTGTGGCAACGTGAACTGATGTACGTACGTACTAAGTTCTACGTTGTAACTGACTGAAACTGCAGCTGATATAAATAAGTGTCAGGTTCTACGTTCGTATGACTGACTGATTAGATATTTTAGATGAGTAGAGCATTATCCAGTAAATTATTATTTTAATCGCAGCTGAATAACTAGATTAGCTGTTTCTATCATTTGTCAGTATAATTTTTTATGTGCCTCACTTGATTTAACTTTTATTACTTTTAGAGGGTCATCTTCACAACCCGGCTTTATTCTTAGGAATCCAACCATGTATCTACGACATGTGTTTTGAATATTTAGATTTCGTGGAAAAGTACCCAACATCCATGCAGATTATCAGGGGACATATTTTTAAACTGTGTCACCATGCGTGAGTGCGTTATTTTGCATTCATTACTAAGACCTAAAGTTATAATGCGTCACGATATGCAGCCAAAATATTTCAGAAACTAGACCATGTACACTTTAATAATGGGCCTTGAGGGTTAATAGTTAGGGCTTGCCTCGTGACGCATTTGGAAGATTTCCGCAAAGTGTGTCCAATCTACCTCCAGCAACTTTTACTGACTTCCTCTTCAGTCGGAAGGTTGGTTTGTCCTGTCGCAGTAGGTCGTTGCTGATTTTGTCTGGCCAACGAGTCTGAAGTATCTTGCGACGAAAAATGTTAACAAACTCCTTTATCTTTTGGATCATGGCTTTCGTAGTTCTCCAAGTTTCCGCTCCACACAACAGAACTGTCTTGACGTTCTTATTGGAAATTGTGACTTTGGTTTTTTTAGTTGTTGTAGGTTTCAAATGATTCGCAACTATCAAAATATTGCTCTTAGTTTGCTAATCGGTGTCTTTACACCTGCATTAGATCCATATGACTTATAATTGGTGCTGTTATAGTTTCCGCATCTTGCAAATCTCCGTCAAATGTGATTTTGTTGGTGTATGCTTTGTCGTTTCCGAGGACCTAGCGATCTCCTTTGTGCATGTTGAGGCCTACTGCTGCTGTTACACTGACTGTCTTCTTCTGTATTTGTAGTTGTTGTGTGGGATAGAAGAGCTAAGTCTAAATTATCCAGCTCCATCCTAGATGTCTATTGTGTTCCGCACTTACCCTGATATGTTGACGTCTCCATAATCTAGTCAACCACCGGAAGGATGCAAAAGGGCCTGCAAGACAATAGTAACGATTGTTTGGAGACTTAGAAGGAGATGGCGCAGATGCATACATTCTTCGTTTTTCTCTTTTCTCAAAAATTGATTCCACTGTGATACACTTCTCGAAACATATCTTCGTTCACTAATCTTATCCATTACCGCTAATACTTCTACTATTTCTACCACTATGGGATTTAACTTGACAATTGCATCTCTGTGTGCTAATGTGATATGGCAACTTGGACTGATGTATGTACGTACGACGTTCTACGTTATAGATGACTGACTACTACGTCTGTTTTCGATGGATCAGCTGGAATGTTGTCTGGTCTTGCTGCTTCGCTGCTCTTGATAGGACTGATGACCATGCAAATTTCTTCGATTGTTGGTGGGTTCACATTAATTTGAATGTGTGTTGACGCTGATTCGATGTTGGATGGGTTCGGGGACCCTGTTCCTTTCAGAAGTCCTAAAAAGTGTTCTACCCGTCTGTTCTGTTGTTCTTGAAAGTCGGCGACTGTTTTTCTTTCGTGGATATTGACTGGTGGTTCTGGCTTACTATGATTATTCACGAGCCTCTTTGTTGTATAGTACAGTTTTATGATGCTTCCTTCCCTTGCAGCTATTTCTGGTCTCACAGCTAGATCTTCCTCATATTTCTGCCTATCAGCTCCGATGCTCCCTTTTACTTGCTTGTTTGCCTCAACGTATTCGAACTGTGTCCTCGCTTTATCTGATCTTGTTCAGCTGTTGTTGATTGCTTTCTTTCCGTCCTTTCCTTCTCGAGTCTTATCCAGAGTATGCACAGTGGCCTAAAACCTCATGATATGCTGAGGTTATTGCCTCTCTGATCCCTTTTTAGTTGTTCTCTATGGTAGTTTCTCCGTTCACTGAGTAGATCGTGAAAGGCTTGAAACTCATTGCTGAGAGCTATCTTGAATTCGTTGAGTTTGCCTGTATGCCGAAGAAGGGCTGCATTAAACTTTTGTGACGCAGTTTGTCTAGTTGTCCAGTGGTTCTTTAGTTTCTCATTTTTATCCGGCTTATGTGATAGATTAGAAATTATTTTAGTATTGAATTTCAAATATCAAACAAACGATGATCAATGATATTGTTAAAAAACAGTCTTTTTCATTTTAAATTTTATTGATGGTTTTTCGAGATGCTAATCAGAGCGCTTCTTTCTTCTCCGGCAGAAACATTTAAAGTAGTAAGTGCAGTTGGAGGTAAAATGAAGAAGTGATTTTTCCAATTTCGTCTATCGTAGTGAACAGTTTATTAGGTGCGATCATACTAGCTTACGAGATAATGGAGAAAATATTTAGCTCAGATGGATGATTGTGGTGGTTTGTTCTCTGAGCTGGATGTTTCTATCTGAAGTTTATGCTAATGAAGTTTTTCAGAAGAACAATGAAAGCTCCAAAACATCCAGCTCAGTATGTGGTTGAATGAAGCTCTGACTAAAACTTTTGCATAGCTTATTAGGCAGGAACTATTGAAATCCAAATAAAGCTTATTGCGAGTGTCATTTTGATTAATAGATCCTTCTATTTCTATTGTTCTGAAAACCAGTATCAAGAAAGTGAGATTTTGATGGAGTTTCGTTCTCTCAGTTGGATATTTTGATTGTGGAACTTTCATTGTTTTTCTGAACAACATCACCAGCACAAACTTCAGATAGAAGTGAAGTATTCAAATTTCTTCACATATGACTCGTAGTTTACTCTGTTGGCCTAAAACCTGTCATTGTCTGCACATTTATTTTGATTGTATCTCCCTTTGATCTGTTTCTTGATCCGATATTTGTCTATGATTTTCCTGGTTGGTTGCTTAATTGGGTCAGTGTCAATATGTTTGTTGATTGCTGATTGAATTGAGAGCGAAGCTTCTGAAAATTCTCTGATTTTTTGTGCTCCCCCTATCCAGTATTTCCACACTGTTCCAAACGAACGTACGTCCATAGTTGTCCGAATGTATTGATATAAGGGAAGAAATTTCGTGGCGTTTGACTGCTAATGAATTTTCACGCGGATGAAGTTGAGGAGGGCGTCCACTTTGTCGTATATAGTGTTTTCCATAGTCTGAGCAGTTTATTTTGTATATGATATTTTGTTTTCCTTTTCTCATTTTGTCTTTCAGTTTACATAGAATTGATTGAAGTGATTCCGTTGGTTCGTGTGCAACAAATATGCTGAATGGTTTTAGTAATTGTTCTCTAACTTACGATATGTCTTTTATATATGGTAGAATAGTCCTTTGTAGTGATTAGCGCATCCAGGAATGATAGTCTGTTGTGCTATTCATTTCGCATTGTGAATCAAAGACGTCGTTCCTTTTGATGATGATGATGATGATGATGATGATGATGATGATGATGATGATGATGATGATGATGATGATGATGATGATGATGATGATGATGATGATGATGAATGTGTCGTCTACATAACAAACCAACATTTTCGGCTGGATCATTGTTAAAATCGATTCTTCTAGTCTCTGCATCATGGCTTCTGCGATAAGCCCTGATATTGGTGATCCCATGGATGTTCCTTTTGTTTGTTCGCAAATTTTTTTGTTGAATGAAAAATACGTTGTTAAGCATAAATAGATAATTTCCAGTAGACTACGACCTTAAAGTTTCATAAACTTTGGAAGGTTTGTGTCATTTGTGAGGAGCAGGGATAGAGTTTATCTAGCTAAGCTTGGTTCGATTGATATGAATGAGGCTATTGCGTTGAAGGATATCATCAACCCATCGTAGTCGGTTTCAATCGCATTGAGGTTATCCAAGAATTGTATGCGAGACTTAATGAAGTAATTGGATGAATCCACCAACTACTTCACTTGAAGTCAACAGAACAAGCTGCGAGTCATATGTGGACAAGTTCGAATACTGATATTGTTCAAAAAAACAATAAAAGTTCCAAAACCAAAACATCCAGCTCAGAGAACAAAACTATCACATTCACTACCAAGTTTTAACTTGTTTTGAAAGTCAGAATGGCTGAAAAGAATCTGAGTTCATTTTGAGTGGTCATCAAAAATTCCTCTTTTTGATTCGAAAGGAAAATTGCCACATATATATATATATATATATATATATATATATATATATATATATATATTCAACTCATTCCCATTAAGCTGTATTTTTACCATTAGGTGTTACACCTATTGGATGTGCTATAGCCAGATGTTCATATACGTTATATTGGTTTTTGTTGTCTTACGCTGGTGTTTAGCTAATCTTTTTGTCCAGCAATCCAGAGCTATATAGATAAAGTCATTTTTGCAACGAATCACAGACGTCATTATTATTTTCATTGACAAACAGATTGGACGAACATTCTGAATTTCGTTCACTAATTGCATCTTCTCAATCGATTAACGGGATAAAAGAGATATTACAGAAAATGGCCTATCACTGCTCGGTAAGTTAATCGTTACCTTATCCAAAATAGTAATTGTATTTTTGATAATATTATAACTGACATATATCTGACACCATTTCTTGTTAACCTTGAATTAAATTGACCCTAGTTGTGCATGACGATTTCGCGTGTTAAGTTTTGATTTACCGTTTGATTATATTTGTATTCATTTGCCTTTTTCATCTTGAATAAATCAACTAGTTGAATTGTTACTATCTGACATCAATAAGCCGTCGACTCGGCCTGTAGCGTTGAGTTTTTGGCATCACAAAAACCATAAACATCCATTTATTATGAACTACCCTTGCCACGCAGATGACTTTGGAGAGATCGGCTACGGTGTAATCAACGAATAATGCTACCTAAGTTTCTTCTTTAGAAATATTACAGGACAGTTATACCAAAGGTAAACAATGACTTAATGGGAGGGCTTACATTTTCTACGTTAACTAGACTTCTGTGGTGTTTTTCGACTAATCAAAAAAGAGCTTGTGGAGACAGCTGACAGAGTTCCCTCTCATAGCTAAGCTCATGGAAAACTAACGTGATAAGTAACAATGTCTATTATTAACAAATCCATTATTCTGGGGAGAGTTATGGCCACAATTCACGGAACAAAATTGAGAAGTGAAGTCTCCAAGACTACCAGCTGGAAGTTAGAACTTAGGAGCTTTATTGTTAATGGTTGAATCTCTCACTGTTGTGACTGATATATTGGGAGCTAGTTTCCGAAATTGTGATACACTTATTAAACTCATTGTTTAGTTTATTAGACAACGTGCTCCAATAATCTCACGAGGCAGAACGTAGCTGTCTCATTGATGTGGTGGTTTGGTCTCTGTCGCGACGAGCGAACCGATCTGTATTGGCCAAAATATATGTTTTCTTAGGTCCTACCACACCAGATAAGTAGGACGGTGAATGGTAAGACTGAATGTAGCAGATGAGGACGAAGTCCTACTTCTGACTGCAGAGAAGCGCGACAACAGTAAGGTGTTTTTCTTGTACACTCAACAACGCTAATCTACCTTCCTTTTCAGGGTTTTCAAGAAACACCCTTTCTCGGGGTGGGCAGCCGGGAAGTGACATTCGCCCTCTTACATGTAACGGCGCGCGAAACCGACTTGTTCACAATCGAATCCTTCCTACACCCCGTAATATCTCTCTTATCTCCACGACTAACTTTACTCACATTCCTTTATCACGCCGCACCTCTGCTGCAAACGATTCGAGTTCACGAAACATTATTCTTGGTCTCCTGAACCCTCGTTCTAAATTACATGTTGGAGCATTTAATGTTCGAACATTGTGTCAAATAGGTCAACAGGCTTCCTTAGCTAGGACCTTAAAATCTCGCGCCATCGATGTATGTTGCGTCTGGGAAACGCTCATACAGGATCCGAGTAGCATTATTCACTTGACCTCACCATTTCAAGATATAGGATCGACTCGGTCTACGCTTCGTGTATCTGGAAGCCCTACTGCTGCTTCCCGTTGCCTCGTTGGTATAGGTATAGTATTAAGTCCCAGGGCAGGACTAGCTGTGTTAGACTGGATCCCGGTAGACAGTCGCTTATGCGCTCTCTAACTGAACAAGAGAGTAGGAGCCCAGAAAGGTTGGGACTCTCGCCTTTGCCTGGAATACTGCCTAGTAATAGTGGCTGCTGATTTTCATGCTCAAGTAATTGGATTGAACGGAATTCAAATACACCTGGGTGGATCTTATGGTGTTGTGGCTCAAAAATCAGATAATGGCGACCGTCTGCTGCTGCTATTCTCAGACAAATACCTATTTCTGGCAAATACCAACTCCAAACATAGGGAATAACATCTCTTACCATTACGATCCGTAAAATTGACTCAACTGTGGACGCAACTAGACCACATTGCTATCAGTCATCGATAGAGAAGCTAGATAGAAGAGTGTCACTCGCTGTGGAGCACATGTATGGATTCAGATCATGCTTCAGTACGAGCGGCTTACTGGACGTAGAAAAGACACAGTAAGTGAACCTGCTTCTTCCTCAACTTACGATTAAAGCTTCGGATATCCAGCTACTAAATTTTAGTTTTGATTTTTGCTCCTCTATTCGGTTTGGATAACCGAACTTATCACTAACTCCCTCACAATATGACTCAAAGCTGACTTACTAAATCCGTTCATGCCAAGTATTAGCAATAGAATAAAAGGGAAAATATGTTAAGTAGAGTATGTCATTCTATGACAAATTACCGTCAGTTTTATTATTGTCAATAAACAAAGCAGAGAAAGAATGAACGAATGCAAGTTAAACATACTTAATTTTTTAAAATATTAAGCTCATAGAGATTATCTTCAGCTAGTTTTATATTCATTTTAAAAGCGATATTTACGCATGGGTTCTTCCAATCACCATTAATTTTGACTTCGTTTTCGTCTCGATTTTCGTAGTCTTGTGTACGAAACAGTTCAAATGAATTACCTTATCCCCATTGGTTATGTCAACCATATGAGCGACCACTTACAGTTTCAGAACAAAAAAGTGAAATTTCGATGCAATCAGTTGATGGATCTCATTTTCATGGAGTTGATAGTACTGTCTCTGCTAAAAGGGTCATGCTGATGGAGGAAAGACGCAATCGAAAAGCTACAAAGAAGGAGATTAAACTTGCTAAGAAGTTAATAATTGTTAAAGGAAATCTTATATGTTCTAGTTGCAAAAAGAACCGGAAAGTAAGTCATGCTAGTTTTTTTGGTAACAATGAGGTTTCCCTTGCTTTTTGGAAACTTAATTGATTGTAATGATTTTAGACAACCCCACGAAGGTTAACGAAAATCCTTCTTCATATCTTAGTGTTATTGTAATATAGCATGTACTCTAATCGAAAAATGAATTTTTTCAAGCAGTCTTAAAAATTTGAAACGGTTGTATAATATGTGATATATAAAGCTGAGTAATGATAAAATTTCCATGTTTAGATATGTTCTTCAAAACCGTATATCCATTGTCACAAATCCACCTCATTGCCAAATATCGATATAGTGTTGGTAAATTTTAGTAAGCCTACTGAGCCTGATCGATTTTTCGTTTTCACTTTTATGAGATATGCCTAGTTTGTATTCGTCTAATTAAGTTAATAATGTTGTTTGTTCACAGTCTTACTGTTCGATACATTTTACCTTTGTATTTTGAAGTATCGTTAAGGACAAATATTTCCTTTAAATTGCTTTTTTAGAGTTTGAATTGTTCAAGATCCGTTTGTCGCACCTGTTGTCAAAATCAAAATGAACCTGACCTGAATTCATTGACGAACATCTTTTGTTCATTCCATCATCGCCAAACAAATCCTTTGTCAGATTAATATATTTTTATTTTCACAAATGCTATTGTTTTGACATTTTACCAGGATGTGCACTTTGTAGATATTCCGATCCCGCCTGCTAATGTGGGTTGATGTAAAAAATATGTAGACTTATTAAATGTGTTTCAAACTGGATAATATTATCTGACTGGTCTCAATCCCTGATTGTCCTAATTTTATAAGAAGGAACAAGAAGGAAATGAGTCTAACTAATGTAGTTTCTAAAATATTGGCCTCCATAATACTTCGACGCCTGACTAGAGGTTGTGAGGAGCAGACTAGAGAAAACCATGCTGGTTTTAGAACTGGACGTGGATGTATAGACCAAATATCCACACCTCGTCAGGTCCTAGAACAAAGACACAAGTTCAGACGCCCCACAATCGTAGTATTTCTCGACCTTGGAGCGGCATTCCACTCGGTGGATCGTGAGGTTCTGTGGCAGTGTATATCATTAAAAGGTGTGCCAAAGAAGTACATAAACCTTATACAAGCACTCTACTCGAGCACCACTGGTCGGGTGAGAGCCTATGGCGAACTATCATCGGAATTGGTTACTCCAAGTAGCATCAAGCAAGGCTATCCACTCTATCTATTCCTGTTTAACTTTATCGTGGATATGCTTCTAGAGTTAGCATTATCTTCGTCTGACTTTTCAGGAGTGGATCTTCTACCAGGAGACAGGCTAACTGACTTAGAATATGCTGATAATATAGTCCTAATCGGTGGAGTCGCTGAAACAATGCAGAGTCTTCTGACCACCCTTAGCAACAATGCAAGCATGTTCGGGATGCGGTTTTCCTCCTCAAAATGCAAGATTTTGCTTCAGGTTTTGCTCCGATTGGCACCTGAACTAGTGATAGGGAGTGAAGTAGTTGAGCGTGTAGACCGCCTCACTCATCTGAGGAGTCTCATCAGTGCTGGTGACTGACAAAATCTCAGCACGGATACAGAAAACTCGATTGGCTTTTCCAACTTGCGTCACTTATGGCGAAGGCGTGATATCCGTTTGCTAACGGAAGGTCAAGTGTACTGTGCTGCAGTTCGCTCGGTCCTACTACATGGATGTGAAACATAGCCGGTAAGAGTAGACAACGTTCGTAGTTTATTAATATTCCATCATAGATGTTTAAGAAGCATTGCTCGTATATCCTGGGACAACCGAGTAATCAATGCTGTTGTTAGGAAATGAGTACAATGTAGGGACGGCAAATCAATAGATGAAATATTGAAACTTCATTAGTTGAGGTGGTTGGGCTATGTGTTACGTATGCCCAACCACCAACTGCCTCGATGAGCTATGTTTTGTGGCGTAGAAGTAGGTTAGAGTAAAGCTAGGGGCAGCCAAAACAAAACACTGCAGAATCGTCTGCGATGGCTCAGGTGCATCCACTCGTTGTGTTCTCACAAATCCTAATCTTGATTCATCAACACCTCTACCTTTGTCTCTTTAAAGTTATCTCATTGAGTTATACTTCTCGAATCATATATTCGGGGCCTCATTTTCTCCATTAATGCTGATAGTTCTACTATTTCTACCACTATGGTATTTGAACTCACAGTTGCGTCTCTGTGCTAATGTGGTATGGCGACTTGAACTGATGTACGAACGTAACGAGTTCTATGTTTTAACTGACGGACTGGTTTTAAATCATGTACCTCGGTTTCGCGTGTTAAGTTTTGATTTACCGTTTGATTATATTTGTATTCATTTGCCTTTTTCATCTTGAATAAATCAACTAGTTGAATTGTTACTATCTGACATCAATAAGCCGTCGACTCGGCCTGTAGCGTTGAGTTTTTGGCATCACAAAAACCATAAACATCCATTTATTATGAACTACCCTTGCCACGCAGATGACTTTGGAGAGATCGGCTACGGTGTAATCAACGAATAATGCTACCTAAGTTTCTTCTTTAGAAATATTACAGGACAGTTATACCAAAGGTAAACAATGACTTAATGGGAGGGCTTACATTTTCTACGTTAACTAGACTTCTGTGGTGTTTTTCGACTAATCAAAAAAGAGCTTGTGGAGACAGCTGACAGAGTTCCCTCTCATAGCTAAGCTCATGGAAAACTAACGTGATAAGTAACAATGTCTATTATTAACAAATCCATTATTCTGGGGAGAGTTATGGCCACAATTCACGGAACAAAATTGAGAAGTGAAGTCTCCAAGACTACCAGCTGGAAGTTAGAACTTAGGAGCTTTATTGTTAATGGTTGAATCTCTCACTGTTGTGACTGATATATTGGGAGCTAGTTTCCGAAATTGTGATACACTTATTAAACTCATTGTTTAGTTTATTAGACAACGTGCTCCAATAATCTCACGAGGCAGAACGTAGCTGTCTCATTGATGTGGTGGTTTGGTCTCTGTCGCGACGAGCGAACCGATCTGTATTGGCCAAAATATATGTTTTCTTAGGTCCTACCACACCAGATAAGTAGGACGGTGAATGGTAAGACTGAATGTAGCAGATGAGGACGAAGTCCTACTTCTGACTGCAGAGAAGCGCGACAACAGTAAGGTGTTTTTCTTGTACACCTAGCAAGTGCAGCAATACTGTCTTCCTACAACTATAGGAACGTTTAGAACTGTTCAGCCCCGACAATGTCACACTTCACATTATCTGTGGTGTTTGAATGAACTAGTGACTTCTTGGTGTTGTGAATGCTTGATTTCGAATTCTAAATACAATACATTCGTTTGTGCATATCTTTAGTTTTTGATTCACATACTTCTAATCATCATACTGGCGTCGCGACGGAGCTTGTAATGGAACAGTTAGATATTCATTCTACTTCTGAAGCTTTTGAAGATTATTTGGAAAGGTTTGAAATCTGGAGTATGACCAGGAAAGATATGAAAGATGATAAAATTGTGTCTCATTTCCTAACATTCATCGGAAAAGAAGCATACAGCTTATTAAAAACTTTGGCATATCCAGAAAAACCTATTTCACTTCCCTATGCAATGCTTAAGGAGTTATTATTGAATCATGTAAAGTGCCCTGGTTTTGAATGCCGTGAAAGAGCGAAATTTCATAAGACGATTCGTCAAAATGACCAAAATGTTAAGGAATTCATTCTTGAATTGCAGAAACAAGCTGTCAATTGTAATTTCGGTGATCAACTTCATGTGCAGCTGAGAGACCGATTAATTGCAGGAATTAACATACCTAGTTTGGAAAGAGAGCTGTTAAGAATGTCAAACTGTTCCTTTCAAGATATTAGAACTGCGTGCATTAACTACGAGGCGTTAAATGAACTTGATATTCAGTCGATGAAGATTTCCAATACTTTGATTAGTTGTCATGATGAAAAACAATCTCAGGGTCAATCAAAATTGTGTTTGTTTAACAGAGGTTCCTATTTTCGTGTAAATATGAACGGTGTTTCAATAAAGAATTACAAAGGAAATCACAAAGGTAATGCTCATATTCAAAAGCGACTATATACAACGCTTGGTTCATTGTGGACACAGGCAGCATAGAGTCCATTATTTCATTCAAGAACTTGAAATCGTTAGATCCTAACGTTGCGGTTCGACCCACTGCAGTATCAATATTGGGGATTACTGGACACAGACTGCCTATACGAGGATCTTGTGAATTGCTAATAAGAGATGATAATTTCTCATACATACCTTGTGAATTCTTAGTTAGCGAAACAGGACTGTCAATACTGGGTTTAAAGAATTTGAAAAGACTTAAAGTGGAGTTGTCTTTCCTAGTTTCTAAAGAAAATTCTGATGCTTTACTTGAAGATTTGATAGCCACGTGTGTTAAGTGCAATGGAAGTATGAAAACGGTTCAGCACAGGAGTGCCAAACGAATTCAACATGTTGACTACATTTCTCGACAGTCATCACAAGATAAACCTGTTAATACTTCAGACTGTTTGTTGGTGCAACCTTTACCAGTGAAACGTCCAGACCTCATTAGAGAAACTCGTAGAAACTTTGGATGCATAATTAGTGCTATACGGAAAGGTTGGAATGCTAATCTGAAACGTAGATTCCCTATCTATTTTTCAAAGCGGGATGAGCTATCCACTACTCCTGATGGTATATTGTGTTTAAATGATCGGGTTGTTATTCCTCCTTCATTGCGTAAAGCTGTCCTGGAAGATCTTCATAGTGGACATTTAGGTGTTGAGAAAATGAAGTCCTTGGCGAGGCTCACGTGTTGGTGGCCAGAGATAAATGCAGATATTTGTCGTACAGCAGACAATTGTGTAAAGTGTCATAAGCTGAAAAATCAGCATTTGAAGTGGACTCCATGGCCAGTATCGTCGGAGGCCTGGCAGAGAATTCATGCAGACTATTGTGGCCCGTTTCTTGGCAAATACTATGCACTTGTAGTCATTGATTCTTTTTCAAAGTGGCCTGAAGTTTTTTTCACAACTTCACCAAATTCTGACTTCACAATTCAAGCATTAAGGAAGGTGTTTAGTCGAGAAGGGGTTCCAATGGTGTTAGTGACTGATAACGGCTCTCATTTTGCTGCAGATGCAGTTACTACCTGGTTAAATGGTATAGGGTGCAAACATCTGTTTACTGCTCCCAGACATCGTTGTTCCAATGGTCAGGCAGAAAATTTTGTCAGGACGTTGAAAACTGCTATTGATTCTATTGCCGCCTCAACATTTAACGAGCTGGAGAGGGGAGTAGATACCTTTCTACTGCAATATAGAAATGCCAGACATTCGGTGACGAAAGAGACTCCATCAAAGCTATTAAAAGGAAGAATTCTTCGGTCGAATATGAGATGTTTGGAGTCTGCAGAAGTTACATATTATCGTGGCAATGATCTTCGACCATCCACGGGGAGAAGAATGTCGGGAAATCTATGGTGCGACTTCTAGATATCAATGACTTTAGTACACACAATCGACATGTTGATCAAGTACAATTCCAGGAACCAGGTGAGTCTGTTCCAATTTCGGTTGTTGATTCTAATACTGATGAGAGCATTATAGATAATACAGAGCCTTTATCCAATACACTGTCGG